CAGGAGTTGGGTCAATCTGAACTTTTCTTGGTCTGGCCTTTCTGCTACCACCAGCTGCCTCTTAAACAAAGAAACATAAGATAAAATCACAGTCTGATTTAGAGTGCTCACAAGCCTGGTGGTGGTGGGGCAAGAGTGGGTGGAAGAGAGAAGATGGAAGACAGCATGGAATTTGTTCCAGCAATAAAGGCTACATGTACCGATGGGATGGGAATGGGATTCTTTGGAGAATGGAGAAAGCCATGTTTCATGTCCCAGGTAGCACAAGTAGCCAAGGAGGGCTTGAGAGAACAGGTAATGATGGATGAGCTCAATCTTAATGCAGGAGTCCAATTTTCCTGGGTGGCTGGAGAGAGGAAAGATGTTCCATTTGTAGGAGTAAGCATGGACAAAGAGATGGAAGCTTGAGAAAGTTATGGGAATGGGAATGTTATGGATGGTTGAAGTGCCAGATGCAAGATGGACAGGTGGGAGATGACCCTGGAAAGAGGGCAAGGCCAGATGATAAAGTACCTTGTTTACTGTTTAGGAGCTTAGATTTTTCCTGTGTCCCAAAAGGAAAGGATTGTGGGATATAAAGCCAATGTCACCAACCAGGAATTCTCACGGGAGTGTTGGAGTCTGAAAGAACCCCTGACTGGGAATAAAGAAAGCTCCTGCAATTGGCAGATTAAAACAAGCACCTTGAAAAATAAAAAATAAAACAAGCACCTTGATCTGAAGCTCAGTTTAGTTCCAACACTCCCTCTCACCCCCACGACTCCTCACAATTTGTTTCTCCTTTACTCCAGGTTAAGGTAGAGGCCACAGGGAAAGTACTTCAGCTGCTCTTCACCCCCTTCCCCTCCCCATTAATAATAAAAGGTTAACAGCACCTTTTCCTTGGGGTTTGGGGCACAGGAAGAAGCCTGCTCTGAACTAGGCCCAGGAGGGGCAGTGCAACTTGCCTTCACACCTCCAAGAAGGCAACCTTCCCTGGGCCTCAGGTGAGTGACACCTGACCTTCTCTGCTCCCCTTACTACCTCCCCCCGACTCGCGCCAACCACATCCTCACCGCCGCCCCACACCCCTAAGCTGGAACAGAGGGATTGTGATTCCCCATGACATCTTCACCACAGTTTCCAAACGATGGGGAAATCTGAGGCATTACAGATGTACTCCCCTTTGGGGGATATTTACCTCCAAGTGCGAACGAGGCAAATGACAGTCCAAGCACGCACACAAGTAACTTCACCCTCTCCTCAACGACCTCAGCCGGCGCTCCAGGCCTACCCCACACCGGGGTGCTAAGCCGCCTGCTCGTCTTAACTGGACACCCAACACCATCCTTAATTAAGTTCTTTCCTGATGGCTGCCAGGTGCTCCCTTCAGCAAGACGGTGTTAATTCCAGCCTCCGGGGGCAGAGACCCGGCCCCCTTTCCCGGCACGTCTGCCCTTGCGCTAGCCCCTACCTGGAAACCCCCCTCCTGAGCTCCACGGCCCCCCTTCTCATGGTCGGGGGAGTTGCTTGTTACGCTGCCAGGAAGTTCACGTCCGTTGCCCACCCGGGCGAACCCCGCAGGTATATAAGGACCGAGGAGAGCGACCCGGACCAGGCGGCGGGCGGCGAAGGAGGAGAAAGGAAGGAAGAAAAGTGACCTAACGAGGCCGCCGAGCATCCTCGCCTGGCGCAGCGGGAGTCGCCCAGAGCAGCCTCTCCGCAACAGGTAAGGGCGCAGCGGCACGGAACCTCGCTCTTACCCCGGAGCCCCCTGCCCCTGGGCCTCGGGATGCTCTCGCCCGGCTCCCCATCGCTGACTTGAGGCGCCTTTGGCTCGCTGCGGTCTTGAGTTCTTTGAAAACTTTCTGTACTGAATGCGGCGTGGGAAGCCCGCAAGCAGCGGAGCAGCGAGGGCCAGCCTCCGGATGGTGGGCGAACGGCTGCGACGCTGAAAGCGGTGCTTTCCAGGAGCCGGCGACCGCGTCTTCCCCCGGGAGTTGGGCTGCTAGGACCCCCGAGATTCCTGCAGCCTTCTGGGGGTGATCTTGGTAAAGCCCCGCCTTTTGGCTCCTCTTCCTCTCGATTTTCTTGGGTAGGTGTCACTTCTTAAAAGATACCATGTACTGTAGAGCAAATTAACGTTGGAAATGAGAGCAGGAGAGTAAAGGCCAGAAGTTACAATAAACTCCCTGCATTCCATATTTCTTTAGATTCAGACCCCTGAATCCTCGTTTCTCTGCCCACCTTAGCGCACCCGATGTGGCTGAGCTTCGATCCGGGCACGGGTCTCTTCTATAAGACCCAGCTGGGGTTAAAAAGAGGTGGCCCGTGTGGGAACTGTCCAAGGTTCTGAACCACCCTCCGTGTGTGCCCTCAATAGGACCGCAAAGTGGACCTTCTATCCCGAAGAGGCGGAAGCAGCCCTTCGAGCTGATGGAGGCTTAGGCAAGAGAGGTTTCCAGTGAAGGAGGGAAAATCTGCAGGGCATTTGGATCCCCCAAATTTTTCGCATATAAATGGGGAGGTGGTTGTTCTCACAGAATGGCTGGAAGAAGCCAAGGAGGAAAGTACGAGTGTGCATTATTTTGTCAATTGTGAACATATGCACAGATCACACCTTATTTAATGACTTAATATTCCTTAGACACTTTTGTTTTAGGACTTGATGCGTGTGTATCACGGTGAAAGGAGAAAACTCTGCACCTCTGCTCCTCTAATCTTTACAGAAGGGCATGACCAGCATGCAGTTTTAGACTGAAAAACACAATGTTTCGCTTAGCTCAAAGAGAATTCACCTACACATATGAAGTTCTAATAAGTGTAGTTCTGTTATGGGGTTAATGTCAAGATTAGTAAATTACAAATTTCTATTTATTTTTCCAAGGCTTTCAACCATTGAATAATATATAACACTATCCCTACTTACAAAAAGCACGAGATTTGACATCTCCCCATTACTTTATTGCTTGAAAAAAAAATGACACAAGGTAATATTTGTTCATTATAGAAAAATAGAAAATAAACATAAGCAAAAAGAAATCAAGTTGCTTTCAGGAAACTAACTTTTCAGCAGTAGAATGGAACTCTGAGAGGGTGGGCAGTGTGACTGTTACCCTGTTGTACAACACAGACAGCTATTGGGGTAGAGAGAGAAGAAATGCTCTCTGGGGCTTCTCAGGCAGGCTTGAAATCATGAGGTAGGTTTTATGAAAATAGAAATCATCCCAGAATGGCAAGCCTTGAGGAGAATTGAACTGTAGTGGAGGGGACTTTGCTTCTTTCTCTACTAAGTTGTTATTTTACACTTGCCCACAGTGATATGTAATGACCATTTTTCTGCCTCTCTTGTAAATCTCAACATTTTTCTGACCCAAATGTGCTGTGTGGTCTCAGAGTTTTAATCTAAATTGCTTTGGGCTCCATTCTTGAACTGGAGTGTCAAAATGTTCCAATGGGAACAGCCTGCCCCTGGTCAAGACTGGACACCAAGGTTGCTCTCCTGGTTGCCCCTTTAACCTGAGATGCTGATGGTCCAGCTGACTGGCTGCCAGCGCCATCTAATGGCTGCTCTGAAGACACTCAAGTTGTGCCTGGCAATTGTTCAAGAAGAGAGCCCTGAGCTGGCTCAGCTTTGGGGGGAAGGAATGGGGGTGGGGCAAAGAAAAGGAAATGGCTTTCTGAACTAGACAATGGAAGCCAGAGAGAACTTTCATTTCCAAAGCCTTCTCTATAAAAAATATTTGGCCACCCTTCTGCAACTAGGAGATTTCCTTTAAGCCAACGTTTTAAAATGCAAATGTCCACTAGGACAGATAAGAAAATTAGTCATCCACACCTTAATGTGAATTGCTTTTCTCATCTAATTAGGTTTCTTTCTACAGCTGGTTGAGATCTTCTGAACTCCAAAATGATTGTGGGTTGGTGGTGAGCTAATAACAAAACTTGGGGTCAACTCTGGAAGCTGACCTGGGTGAGAGGGGACATGGCAGTGGGAGAAGTAGAGGGCTGGGGAAAGGGCTGGGCACAGGGGGCAAAGGGCAACATCCGTGCTCCCTTCTTTACTGCATCCTGACCTCCTGACTTCAGCATCTGTTGAGAGGTACTTTCTGACTTTTCCAAAAGTGTCTTTGGTGGGTGTTCAAAATGGGGGGTGGGTAGTTCTCTTCTGTTTTGTGTGTCCATTTCCTTCTCTTATACACTTATAGTATCTTCAAGTCCAGCTATTTCAGAGTATTTGAGAGACTCAGAGAACAATAGGTGGTCCAATATGTAATGTATCCTGAAGATGAGCCAGTTTTAAAAGAATGGGGGTCTGCATTAAAAATAAACATCTTCAAAGCTGCAGGAATCTGAGAAATAGTGATCATCTGAGTGATCTGTGTACAGGACATCAATTAGGTTGGCTGAGGTTTTGGCCAAATTGGCCAGAGGTTTTATTTGCCTTTATGCAAACCTCCTATTCATAGGAAACAAGAGTTTCTGAAGAATGATAGGATCCTAGTGGATGAGGAAGAGAATAGACCATCTTGAGCAGGAATGTCAGACTCCCTTGTCTTTCCCAAGTTACTCCTTGGTCTGGAGTGTTAGAACTATGGCTTCATGAAGGTGGTGAAATAGGAAAGTTCAGGGAGAACAGGAGAACTTAGCCTGAGTTGTCATGAACACCCAAATTATTATCTCTCTGGGCCTCAGTTTCCCCATCTCTCAAATAAGGGCTGGACCAAATGATCCCTAAAATAGCTTCCAGCCCTAACCTCCTTTGGGGTCTGATTTTTAACAGGAGACAAAGGGGAAATTGTGCATAGATTACCCAGGTTCCTCTCCCCTCCTCTCCACCACAACTCACACCAAACTTCTCCTTGAACTGCTCCTGTCCTCAAAAAGCCTTGAGCTCCACAAATGAATGTGTTGTTAATATTGGCTCACAGTGCTTCCTGGTCAGTGGCCAACATTGTTCTGCTCCTTGCAGGGGTCCCACCAATCTTGTTTGCCTCCGCAGAGCCTCAGCCTGCCTGGAAGATGCCGAGATCGTGCTGCAGCTGCCCAGGGGCCCTGCTGCTGGCCTTGCTGCTTCAGGTCTCTGTGGAAGTGAGTGGCTGGTGCCTGGAAAGCAGCCAGTGTCAGGACCTCACCACGGAAAGTAACCTGCTGGTATGTGGACTGTGGCTGCCATCTTGGTTTGGGCATTGGATGGGACTGGGGCTGGGACTGGGACTGCACAAAAGAAAGGGGCGTGGGGAAGGGGAAATTCATTCCCAGAGATATGGGTAACTCAGCTCAGGGTAGGAACAGATCTCTAAGGTGGAGTCAGAATTGAGCCAAGGAGGGGAGGAAGCAGCTTCAGGGAGATGGGTCTGGTCCACAGTTTCTACTTAATTATCTTCCTGCCCTGTCTTCTTGCATGATGACCCACTCCATTTGATCTATTTAGAGATATTGCTGTTAAAATAATAACAGTGACAGTAACAGCAATAATAATAATTGTTCCCTCTATGGATTCTACATTTTCAATCTTCTAGACATTTTATTCCTTTTTAAATAACCTCATATCACTTGACATTTCCATTCCCCTTCTACTACCATTTACAAAGTCAGCTAGGTTGTACTGCAAATCATCTCTAGTGGGAGAAGGGAAAACCCAGGTGCCATTTTCCTCTAACTGGTGCCAAATGTCTCATGCTTCTTCCAGAGGACTGGCCAACAGTCTTTCCAGAAGCATGTAAAGGCCCTTTGTGCCAGGCTGGAATTGTGTGTGTGTGTCTATTGGGAGGCATAAATGAGAAATTATACAAGTTAAGGACTCAAAGACACACCGCCAGTGTCAGTGACTGAGTTCCGTCATGCTGCCAGCACCTTCCTGGTGAGGGTGGAATGTACATCACTACATTCTGTGTGTTTTGTCAATGAAGAAGCTAGTTAAGGTGAAGAGAGAGAACTCAAAAACATAGAGCAGGTTTCATGTGCAATATAAAATAGAAAGAAAGAGCCCAGGGAATGCTGTTAGTTCTATTTCAGAGACAGACCCAAGAGACCCTTGACTGGAAATACCCACTGCATAGCCTCTCCTGTTGAGAGCCCATCAGGGAAGGAGAAGTGACCACAGTCAGAGCCCACGAGTTCTACCCCAGCTCTGCCACCGAAAAGTCGTGGAAACTTGCCAAGGTCCTTTTACCTCTCCGAGCTTCCTGCTTCGTTATATGTCCAGAGGAGAGGAGTATGAGATAGTTTTTACTTTCCACTGTTAATATTCAGCAGCATCATAATTCTAAATCCCCGGAGTATGAAATTCCCAACTCAACAGAGTGGGTGGGATCCTTCTGTTTCCTCCTTTGCAGTCCCAAGTAACTGAAAACTCAAGGCTGCAGCCTATAGGTCATTTTCTCAGGCAAATGTGTACCATAGTGGAGTTGTCTGCTTACAGAGAGCAGAGACATATGCTCCATGACCCATGCTCCATGGCTGTTTACCCCTCCCTCCAGTCAGAGTGAGGTAACAGGGACGTGAACTACTCCCCCGCAAAGCTCACTGACTGGGGAAAGTACTGGATCAGCTCAAAAGACTTGAAAGAACCAAAGAAAGTGCCAGATGGCATGGGAACATTTTTGAGGCATGATACAGGGAGATGGCTGGGGTGGGGCATGAGTTAGATGTGCAGATCACTGGGGAACGGTTGAGGCATTATTGAAAATACAGGCTCTAGAAGCCAGACTTCTATTCCTCCCACCTGAATAGATTCTCCCCCAAATTTCAGCCCAATGCCCCTCTCAGACTCAAACTGAACCATGCTTATTTATTTGATTTATTCAATATTCATTAAGTGCCAACAACTACCACCCATTTACCATTTGTTGATCAATGCCTATATATCATGCATATTAAGGTAAGACAGTGACCCTGCCCACCAAAGCTCTGGGGTAAGTAAGCCAACGAATGGGATGGGGTATTGGTTGTAGCTGCCAGGCAAAGAAGCCGGGGGTACAGGGGCCACGAGAGGCGAGGAGTCTCGGACGCCCGCGGGCGCCACCAGGGCGGGGAGGCCCGACGTGCCGCCCGCACGTGCTGAGGGCCGCGGGCGCAGCGCGGGGGGCCGGGCTGCCGGGCGAGGCGGCCCTAACGCCCCGCGCCCGCGGCCCTCCCCGCAGGCGTGCGTCCGGGCCTGCAAGCCCGACCTCTCGGCCGAGACGCCCGTGCTGCCCGGCAACGGCGACGAGCAGCCGCTGACCGAGAACCCCCGGAAGTACGTCATGGGCCACTTCCGCTGGGACCGGTTTGGCCGCCGGAACGGCAGCGCGGGCCAGAAGCGCGAGGAGGAGGAGGTCGCGCTGGGCGAAGGCCGCGCGCCGCTGCCCGAGGGCGGCCCGGGGCTCCGCGGCGATGGCGGCGAGGCCGGCCCGCGCGAGGGCAAGCGCTCCTACTCCATGGAGCACTTCCGCTGGGGCAAGCCCGTGGGCAAGAAGCGGCGCCCGGTGAAGGTGTACCCCAACGGCGCCGAGGACGAGGCGGCCGAGGCCTTCCCGCTCGAGTTCAAGAGGGAGCTGGCCGGGGAGCGGCCTGAGCCGGCGCTCGGCCCCGAGGGCCCGGCCGACGGCGTGGCGGCCCTGGCCGAGCTGGGGTCCGGCCCGCTGACCGAGGCCGAGGCGGCCGAGAAGAAGGCCGGCGGGCCCTATAAGATGGAGCACTTCCGCTGGGGCAGCCCGCCCAAGGACAAGCGCTACGGCGGCTTCATGACCTCCGAGAAGAGCCAGACCCCCCTGGTGACGCTCTTCAAAAACGCCATCATCAAGAACGCCCACAAGAAGGGCCAGTGAGGGCGCCGCGGGGCCCCGGGCTGCTCTCCCCGGAAGTCGGCCCGAAGGCCCCCCTCTCCTCGGCCGCCTCCCAGCCTGGTGGGCTCCTCGCTCAGGCGGGGATAGGCCGATAGGCAGCCTCTGAAAGCCGCCTGTAGTTGGGAAATAAAACCTTTCAAGTTTCATGCCTGACTCCGACTTTGAATGTCCACTGCGTGAATAAAATAAAAATACACGTCCATCAAAAAAAGAGCAGCGTATGTTGCTTGGAGGGACAATGGTTTCCACGTGACCCCATGGTAGTATATTTTATAGGACACAGTGGGAATGAAAAGAAAATGTGCCCCCGCCCCCATGGGTCTTAAAGGGAAGCGTGCAGGAGCTCCCCTCTACTAAAGAACAAAAATTCGACTGAGTAAATCTGAAGATCTAATTGGCTTTATGCAGTGATGAGCCTAAGTAGCATCCCATCTAGCAAGTAGAAGGAAGCTCAGAGGAGTTGTTCAAGATGGAAGGTTTTTATGGGAAGGAGGGTTGGGTGAGAAGGTTATTAGCAAAAGAAAGAATTGTTCAGGGCAAGGCCTTTCCCTTAGAAAAGCAGGGGGGGTCTCATGCTGATTACCTTTTGGGGTGCGGGTGTGTGAAGTGTGCATGCATGCCCACTGTGCCTGTCTGCACGTTGAGGGGGGTGGGCGGCAAATGGAAAGGCCCCATGTGACAAGATTACCTGATTGGTGCTTAGCAGGAAATTCCTGATTAAGGAATTAGATTTACATGTCCGGGGGCGGGGGTTGAAACTGCAATTAGGTAAGGTATTAAGGCCCGGTTTGGTGACTTGGCCTAAGTGATACTATTTTGGGTCTGTGGTTTTCTTTTTAACATATCTGAGAGCCAGTCCAACATTGGTTGAATCTCCCTGTTACTGGGGGGCGCTCTGGGCTGTGAGGTGGGAAGCTGTGGTAATGTCTCCCCGAATCTGGCTTTCTGTGTGACCTTAGGCAAGTCTCTATACTTTTCCAAGATTTGGTTCTCTCATCCATCCACCCCTCTCTTCCTAGTGTGAGGATTAATGAGAAAATAGATGTGATCTTTTTTTTTATCACTGAGAGGCTACGTGTGACAGCTTAGGGGGGGTAACAGTTCAGATTGATTGCACTCCCAGGCTACTCACAAATACTGTCAAACACTTGTTCTCACCTACATAGACACCGCCCCCCACCCCCACCCCGGCCCCATGGAGACACATCTGTATAAATACAACACAATATACACGGATGCTTCTTCCTGTCCCTCAGGCTCAAGCCTTCATGTCTCTTTATTCTCGCCCTAGCTATGCCCAAACTCCTCCCCATGTAGCCTAGCTACAGCCTTTCTCTTTATTATACTCAGTGCTTGGCCTCCACTATCCCAATAGCTTCCTAACCAACAGGTGTCCTTGTCTCCAGTCCCTCTCCTCCCCAACTCATCATGCACAAGTTTTTCAGATTAATGTATACAAAATCTTACTTTCCTCACATTCCCTGGTTCAAGAACCAAAAGTCACCCCACCCCAATTTGCCATCAATGTCAAATTCTGGGCCATGGCATGTAGGACCCCCGTCCATCAGCTTCACTCTCCTTACCAAACCCCATTTCCTATGTTTCCACCGACTGGTCTCATTCTTCTTTTCCCTTCCTCCTTCACCCTCTGCCTGGAACTCCCCACCTCCCCCCACCATTTTGAAACCCTTTTTAAAACATGAGCCCAGGCTTGACTCCAGTGCTGCTGGGGAACTTGTGATCTCTTCCAGCTGAGTCTCCTCATTCTCAGCCCTGGAGGGCACATAGTCCAGCTCGAATGGCAAGTTCCTAGCTGCATATATTCTTGTGTTCAGGGAAACTCCAAGGTCCAGAGGGCAAAGGCTTGGGGTTGTGTTTCTTTCTTTTCTTTTTCTTTTTTTTTTAAGTAGGCTCCATGCCCAGCACCCCTGTTTTTTTTTCATATGTCCCCACGGAGTTTGTATAATGTTGGGGCCATGGATTTACAGCCACACACATTTACAATTCACAAAAAACTCACAAATACTTATATACACACAGAGATCCACACATACATGTCAGTTGCATTAGACACACCAGTGGATGGTAAAGATCATATCCAGCTGGGAAACATTTGTGTATGGGTCCTGCACATAGACCCCCATATTTTGATGCTCTAGGAGTTCATAATTAAAGAAAACTGGAATGCACCCTGGGAAATCCTGTGTGAAGGGAACCAGAAAGCCCGATTCTTAAGTCTAAAGTCTCCCCCACAGTGGGTTATATAATGGGGCTAGAGTCTAGTCACTGTGATGAAGAAATGGGCCAGGCTTTCCCATCTGAGGATGCTCCCAGGCTGGGAATCCTGAGCTTCATGTTTACATCTTAGTAGCATCTTTTCCCCCACTCTCCTTCCTTTTTAGGTGAGTAAAGTAATGGTAGGTGGAGGTGGCTAAATGTCAGTAGTTAATGTTGGTATTTTCAGATCCTGTTTGCATCCCCAAAAAACCACTTACTTTTTTTTTTTTTAAAGATTTTATTTATTTGACAGAGAGAGACACAGTGAGAGGGGGAACACAAGCAGGAGGAGTGGAGAGAGAGAAGCAGGCTTCCCACTGAGCAGGGAGCCCGATGCAGGGCTCGATCCCAGGACCCTGGGATCATGACCTGAGCCGAAGGCAGACGCTTAATGACTGAGCCACCCAGGTGCCCCAAAAACCACTTACTTTAAAGAAATCAAATACACAACCATGTGGTGACAACATTAACATTTATTTGAAAAGGGCATCATGAAGACTTACTGGGAAATCATGACTAATAGTCCTAAAGAATGATCTTGCTGAAGAGTCCTTCTTCCTACCACCCCCCCTTACCCCCGCTCCTCTTTCCCCTTTCTTAAAATAAAACTGATTTGATTCAATGAGTTTAAAATACAGAAAACTGCCATAGGCACGAATTCTGTGCTCCCATACACCTACGTCAGCTGTTATGTACATATATTGTCAACTAGGAACTGCCTGGCACACACACGTGTGCCCGTGGGCACATACACTCTCAGCCAGGTCATGAGGGTCTAGATGGACACAGACACGTTACGAAGCATGGGTAATGCTGCAGCATTTGTGGGTGTACAGCTCTGCACGCCACAGGCCAGAATCGACAGTCATGGAGGAGGAGCTCAGAAGGGGAAAGCGATGGCCTGAGGCCCTAAGGTCCCCTGAAGGAGAAAAGACCTGGTCAGCCTGGCCGGTGCTAAAGGAGAGCACAGAAAACTGCCCTCTGACCCCAACAGGCCACAGAGCCCCGTCCACAGTCCCCATGTCTTCTCCCCACTCCCCCAGGGGCCAGGCCCACCACGACCATCCTTCCACAATCTTCAGACCTAGGGTCACTTTAACCAGAAGATTTCTAGGGGATGGAGCAGCATCACGTGCCCTAAACCTCCCCAGACACCAGAAAGATACCTTGTTTCAGCAGGATCTGCCTTCCAGGGTCTATGGGTTAGGGGAAGCAGGCACGACCTGATCTCATGAGCCGTCCTTTCCCACAGACCCCCAAAGGCCAGTTGCCATTTTATGGTCACAGAGAACGATTGGGAGAAATGGCCTCACTTCCCAGTGACATTCTCTGTGACCAGGTCAGAAGGCCTGGGGACCGTGCGACAGCAACTGGAAGCTATCATGACCCAGGGGCCCCCAGAGAAGCCCAGCAGTCAGACTTTGAGCTGTTTTAAGGTACCCCAAGCTGCTGTCATTCTTAGGCCAACTGAAACATGGCCTCTGGGACCCAGACCACCCAGGGCAAAGGGCAGCATGTATATGATCCTCATACTTTCCAGGCACTGTAGATGGTCCCAGCCCCACCTCTTCACTGCCCATCCATCTGTACTTGTGTAGGAAGCTGGACAGAGGACAGCATCTGAGGGAGGACCTTTCTAATTCTTCTCACCTGCTTGGGCTCCTCCTTTGGTGAGGAGGCATTTAGGAGTCAAGGAACTACTTATCTCTACTTTTCAGAGAGAGGAAAATGGGAACAGGCATAGGGCACTGGGGACCCTATAGAAAGGAAAACAAGGAGCCTCCAGGATCATACTGGTAATTTCTGCTGACTTGCTTCTTACTCACTTACATGATTCAACCAAATTAACAGAACCTCTAAATCATGCCTTAAGTTCTGCCAACAGAGTACTAACCAAACCTACCCCTTGGCCAGGAAGCAAGAGTCCTCAGTAGTCTAGGGAGCGGCTGGTTTGGGTGGGCTTGCTGGCTCTAGCCAAACAGAGACAGGCAGCAATAAGGGTCGGTCACAGGACACAGGGCAGCCAGACGCCAGAGGGCTTGGAAGGCAGTAAGCAGTGACTTTAAGCCCAAGGCCAGGGCGCCCACCACGCTCTGCTTTGCCTCTCTCCCTGGGCTCGTGGGAGGAGGGTGTCACTTTCTGACTCTGAGGCATATTTGGCTAGAAGCCAGGTTCTCCTTCATGTCAGCAGGCAATCCAGTATTCTACTGAGTGTAAGTTTTTAAATTGAAATGGAGAAGAGGGCACTCAAGGAACGGCTAGTTCTCCAGAAGAAGCACATCTTTGCTAAGCAGTTGTGAAGTAAGGAAAGAGCTACTTTGGACAGAGACAGGGGTGAGTGTATGAAGAATGGTAACCCTGCACCTGTTTCTTCACTCTGTTCCTGGGGTGGGGAAGAGGGAGAGGCATCTGAATGGGCCTACAGATCTCTGGTTCTAGTTCTGGCTCTAGAAAGAGGCTCCAGGGCCATGATGCCGCGTCCCAGGACCAGGACCCCAAGGGCAGGGCTCAGGTTGCAGCTGCCATGGGGTAGACCCTAAAGTCAAGTGGACACAAGAAAGAAACAGGGTTTCTCATCAAAGCCAAGCAGGGGATACAGATGGAAAGATCCAGTAAGGAAAGACATGTTTGTGGCTCAAGACTGAGATGTCCTCTAACATTTCTTCCAAAGGTTATTTGCCTTCACATTTTATTTTAAATTTTCTTAATAAAGAGATAGTAAGGTAAAGAGAAGTCTAAGTTCATGCTTATAAATTTGGGTTGAGCATTAGCCAAGAGCCAGAGCCAAAAGCCGAAAGTGGGGGTGGGGTGGGGTGCAGGAGCCCTGCTCCTTGGGCCTTGTAATCATGCAGGCCATCTGGAAGCCACAGGCCCATAGCACAGAGGCACTGACCAGGGTGGAAACTACAGAACGAGAGTCAGATAGCCCCCCTATTCAAAACAGCTATTGCACCTGTAATGGGAAAATGCCTATGTTAAGGTTTTCCCAGTTCAGGAAAATACACCTATTTATCCTCATAATCAGGCGTTCATTGTTTGTCTGTGCAAGGCTGTGGGCAAGGGTGTGACTAGACGGTGTCCCAAGAAGCCCCCTCCCCTGAGCAGAAACATCGTGCTTCTGACCCTTCCCCATACTGCCTAAAATTGTACCCTCAGAAGGGATTCCTTTGGGTCAAGAAATCTACTCATTCTCCCTCTTTTTAAAAAGCAAATTCTCCAGGGAGAAATCATTTGACCATTCACACCTTACTGGGAGTTACATCAGCTCAGAAAAGTTATGGGAAGTTTTCCTGGAAGAGAAGAGAAGGGCTATTGTGGACCGTAGGGTGCTGCCATGGGAGGAGACCCAGGAGGCCCTGGAGGCACAAAGGCCCCCGACGGGAGAACGGGTGGGGGAGCAGAGAGAGCACAGCAGAAGGCCTTCTAGCTCTGCAGCAGCCCCTCCTTTGCACACAGACAGGCAGGGACCTCAGGGAAATGGAAACCCAGCACCCAAAGGGGTCTCCACTGCCTCTCCCCAAGCCTCAAGTCTGCCAGTTGGCACTGATGTCCTGACTTTGTCCAAAGAGTGAAGAGATCATTCCAATATTAGGTGCTGGATCCTTCTTTCCTTGAATGAAATATCCAAAAGGTTGACTCTGACATCCTTGAGGGGCAAAATGCTATCCTCATAACCCCTTCCGCTTCCTACTCCCCAAACCAGGCTGGGAGTCTCTTGCATAGGAAGTGGGCAGGTTGGGGGCCCTTGCATTTCCTCTTTCTTTTGAGCCATGTGGAACCAGATTTTCTTGAACCAGATTATCTCATTCTGCCCTCCCTCAACCCAGAGGCTGTAGAAACACGCTAGGGTCCTCAGAAAGAAAGGCATTGGAGAGAAAACTCAACTTAGAGAAACATCCAGGAGGGGGAGAACCATGGGAGGACCCAGCAAGCTCCCTGGCAGTGAAGGAGGTGAGAAGCTGCTACAAGGGATGTGGCCTTGCCCACTTCTGCCCGCTGTTCCGCTCTAGGGGGCAGGCCCAGCCTGGGGAGAGCCAGCCCCCTCTACAGCCAACCTGCCCACCCTTGATTTTTATCCTTTCTTGCCTTGCGTGGTGTCTCAACTGCAGTTCCTGTTGGAAGGGCTTGACATGAATTAAGAACAGAAAGAATCACAAGGACACAACCAGCAGGGCGAGCAGGGGAGTGGAGGGAGAAGTGGAGGCGGGGAACGCTCTGGAAGAGAGCAGGTGCCTCCCAGCCTTGCACACCACTGCTTTCCCAGAGCAGCTGGGAGCTTGCCCGACTTCCTCCTGACTGCAGTCCGAGGCACTGTTCCCTCCTGCAGGGTTGGCAGCTGTGCCCCCCAGGCCCACCCCCAGGAAAGCCCTTCCTACGCTACACCAAGCAGGAGCTTCTCGGGACCCCCGCCTCCCTCTGCAGACCCCCATGGTTCTCAGCTCCTGGTGGACACAAAGGAGGAGACAAAGGGTGGGTGAGATGCTTATTGGCCCCAGAGGGGCAGGACGCCGATCTCCCTCAGGGAAGACAAGGAGGAAGTGGGAGGGCTGAGAGGGGGCCCGAGGCTCCACCTTGTGTAGCTGGGGAGGTGCTTTTTCTCTGAGACCCCAGTTTGATTTCCATGCCATGGGAGTGGGTTGTGAGGGCGAACCCCTCCCTCAGACCCCACCCCTCCGAAGTGCTCCGTCTTCTGGAATTCAGTATACGCACAGATCGGGAAACTTCATCTCGTAGACGGGGATGGAGTGGTTCTGAGGCTGGCCATAGGCTGCGGTGATGGTGCCTGATGGGCTCGGAGGGGGCCTGGGAAGGAGCACATGGAGGAGAAAGGCGTGAGAAGGGGGCTCTGGGGTCCCACCCCGTGCAACCAAAAAGAGCAGCTAATTTGGGTTTTTCTTTGAACAGGGACCAGAAACGGTCACTCCATGGGTTCCTGGGTTCCAAGTTCTAGAATCTTCTAGACTTCACTTGAAGTCTAGCTTCACTGAAGGCTCTATAGTGACATTGTTGCTTTAGAAAGTGCCAGCCTGGGACACCAGGACCCCTGGCTCTTTTCTGGGGCTCACTGTGCTGTCTCTTTCTCTCTCTAGTCTTGCTTTCCCTGTCTGGGAGAGCTGGTGGCTGAGTCCAGCCCTGGAGACAGGGGCTGCAGGCAGGGAGGCCTGGAGACAGGGGCTGCAGGCAGGGAGGCCTGGAGACAGGTGTGAGAGAAGGATTCGGGAGCAGGGGTCCCCGCCCAGGCCTGCCACTTACCGGATGGTGATTTCGAAGATCTGATTGAGTTTGCTCTGTAGCAGTGATGCCTAGACAGGAACAGCGGGAAGTGAGCTGGGGGCTCCCCCGCACCCATGCCCGCTCTCAGGGGCCCCGCTGTCCAGAGAACCCGTAGAGGTGGGGGGCAGTTGCAGTCTTAGGAGGGGAACTGGTGTGAGCTCATTTCTGGAGCTTATCTGTGGATTCTGGCTGTGGGTTCAGATCAGGCAGGGCCACCCAGGAAGGCCTGCTGGGGACAGCACGGAGGCCGGGACCCCCAGGAGGGCCTCAGCAGGCAGTTCTTAAAAGGGCCCTTAGTTCCTCCAAGTGGGCCGTAGGGCTTGCTGGGCATGTAGAGTCAGGAGGCTCAGAGCTAGTTTCGGATCTCTGCTTAACTTCCAAGAAGCAGCTGAGCCAAATTGGCGGGTTAGGGAGGATGCTCTCTCTGGTCCCTTCTGGCTCCAGCTCAGCCCACGTGTACAGAGAGTGAGACTGTGCATGTGCTCAGGAATGGGCCTCAACTCTGAGCTCATGAAATGAGCAGCATCCACCTCTGGAGATGGGACAAGAGGTGAGGATAACATAGGCCCAGACAAATCTATAGGTATTTACATATCCTATTATATTGTTATTATATATTATGATATACTAGAAATAGAGATAATACATCTTATGTAATGGAAAAGAAAATAACATGTATTTTTACTGAGAGGAAAAAATTACAATAAAATGGAAGTTATTTGTAGATGTGGGATGTTTACAATTATGTTTCACTGTTACTAAGATGGCCATTGTGACTAACAAATCTTAATCAGTTTCAAGAAATGCATAGACATGAGTCTTTCTTTTTACTTATTTGGCACCTTTTCTTTCAAATCTCTTTTCCAGGGCCAGGCTGTTCCATTCCCCCTGCTGGGGTCCCCTGGCTGGAAGTGGGGCCCTGTTGCAGATGTTGCCCATCTGTCCTCTGCTACGGCTCCTTCCCCTCTCATCGGTAATGAGATGAGCATAAAGGCATGGACCTCACAGAGTTGTCATGACAATGACATAAGCTGATAAATGTAAGATGCCCTGGCATGTGCTCAGTGCTAGTTACATACGTGATATTATAAGCATCACAGTCTGTCTGTGTGATGCAGGAGCTTTTGAGGTCAGGACTTCCTCCTTACAGGGAAATGACAAGATCTAAAGGAGTGCATGGCTGATAGCCATGCCTTTTGGTTCTTGGGGGAAATGATGTAGTGCCAGGGCATTGGTGGGATCTAAACCCTAATTTCTGGGTGACAAAAGTGCCACGATCTCCTAGAAACTCAGCCCTGCTAGGGCCCCGAGGACTCACCCCTGTTATGGCTCACTCACCCGGGCCCCACAGTGTGCTGCAATCTCCTCAAAGGGTGCCTTCTGGAACTTCTCCACCACCTGTCGCCGCCGTTCACGTTCCTGCTCCTCGACTGCCACGCTGTCCACTGCGGCATAGAGAGCTGGGTCAGCCCTGACGTCCTGCCCCACTGGTGCGGGGCAAGATGGGTGGGCCCCTCCAGGGGAGCACTGTCCGTGAGTGCCTTCTGGGCTCTGCCCTCTGCTGACGAGCAGGCCGTGGAGGGTGTGGTGCCATTACTTGGGCCCACGAAGGCTAGATCTTTTCCTGCTTCGGCCTGAGGCTCAGCCCCTCTCTTCGTGGAAGAGTTTGAGACTAGTTAAGTGGACCCTACAGCTGGGCTTTTAATGCCCCGAGCTGCAACAGCACCACTAGGACTCTCAAAGGAAGTTCCTGGAACAGAAAGTACTCTGGCACTAATTTGAAAGGGACGTCAACAGTGGAAAAGCCAGACAGGTCCCAAAAGCCAAGATAAGAGCTCGGCCCCTATGGCCCAGCAGTCCCAGGTTGTCCAGTTTAAGGCTTCTGCATATTCCTTTTGGTCTCCAAAACGAGTCAGCAAATATAAAGAAGGGGGGCTGGTGAGATATGTTCACACGTTAAGAAGGCAGAGCAGGGGGCGCCTGGGTGGCTCAGTTGGTTAAGTGACTGCCTTCAGCTCAGGTCATGATCCTGGAGTCCCTGGATCGAGTCCCGCATCGGGCTCCCTGCTCGGCGGGGAGTCTGCTTCTCCCTCTGACCCTCCCCCCTCTCATGTGCTCTCTCTCTCCTTCTCTCTCTCTCAAATAAATAAATAAAATCTTTAAAAAAAAAAAAAAAAGAAGGCAGAGCAGTGTGCGCATTCAGAAGGAATACTAGCAGGGACAACCCAAATTGAAATGGTTTGGCATCTGAATATATAATTTGTCATCAGTTATCAGTTACCTCATTGCCCCCTAATCCAGATAAAGGAGGTACTACTGCATTTTAAAATCTGTTGCCAATAACTATTTTTTTTCTTTTCTTTTCTTTCTTTTTTTTTTTTTTAAAGATTTTCATTTATTTATCTGAGAGAGAATGGGAGACAGAAAGCATGAGAGGGGGAGGATCAGAGGGAGAAGCAGACTCCCCGCCGAGCAGGGAGCCCGATGCGGGACTCAATCCCGGGACTCCAGGATCATGACCTGAGCCGAAGGCAGTTGCTTAACCAACTGAGCCACCCAGGCGCCCGCCAATAACTATTAATATGATTTATTCTTCATATCTTTCGTTGGTCAACTTGTTAACATCCACCAAAAAAATCATCTAAGTATCTATACAAAATTGCCTCCCTTCACCTCTGTGCTGAATCCCGCAGCAGGCTGCACACACCCCTGCCTCCCCCAGGACCCAGCCCGGGCCTCCCCGCCAACTTACCAATGGCCTTCTTTAGCGTCTCATAGGTGATCTCCTCAGCAGGCACTCGCTGAGGGAGAAAGGACAGAAGTGCTCAGAAAGGTGGGGTGGGGTGGGGGGGCAGCTCTGGCTTCCTTGGTTACCGGGCAGCCCCTTTGCTTCTCAGAAGAATGTCCCCATGGGCGGAAGCTCCCCCAGAACACCCACATTCTCACCAGGGTCTCTGAAGCTCCCCCAGCAGGCGGGCACAGAGCTGCCCGCTGAAGGACAGCAGTGAGATGGACGGGGGAGGCCCAGTCCTCATCAGCGTGCGGGAGAATCACCTGAAAGAGCTCGCTGCCCTCCCCGCCCCCCCCCCCCCCCCAGCTTGTCCCATTAAGCCCCATGGGAGCAAAGCCCTGTGAAACTAAAAAAAAATCTTCAGAGAAAGTAACAGAAAATATTGGCAGCGGGCGCCTGGGTGGCTCAGTTGGTTAAGCGACTGCCTTCGGCTCAGGTCATGATCCTGGAGTCCCGGGATCGAGTCCCACATCGGGCTCCTTGCTCGGCGGGGAGTCTGCTTCTCCCTCTGACCCTCCTCCCTCTCATGCTCTCTGTCTCTCATTCTCTCTCTGTCTCAAATAAAAAAAATAAAATCTTTAAAAAAAAAAAAAAAAGAAAATATTGGCAGCAAGAGGAAGCAGTTGGCAAATACCTCAAATGTAAATTTTAAGAACTGAATAAAATTTCTGAAGACTCAGGATATCAAATTATCCACTGAGGTGATTTGAGTATTGACTAAAGGTCAGACATGCTGAGCTTGGCTCAGGGACCTGGGTCACAGGATCTCAGCCCTCGCAGAGCCTATTAAAGGAGGTGGAAAATAATAAACTCAAAGAAGGATTACTCCATGGATGGTGGCCTCAGGCCAGAGGCTGACCCGTGAAGACTTTGAACTAAGTCCCAGGTATTCCCCAGTAGACTCTGAGCTCCCTGAGGAAGGATTCATGATTCACTCCCATCCCATTACTTAAACACAATGTTAAGTGAAAGAAGCAGACACAGGAGAGAATGACTTCACTAATAGGAAGTTCAAGAAGTGACCTAAGTCAGGCTAGTGGCGCCTTTTGGGAAGGGAGTCTCTTGGGCAATGACAACGTTCTCTCCCCTGATTTGGGTGTGACTGCACGGATACATTCCTTTAGTGAAAATTCACTAAGCTGGACTTTCCTGATTTGTCTAGCATTCAGCAAATGCTAGTGTGAGGAGGAAAGGCCAGAGATGTAGGTATGGGCTACGGTCATTTATGAAATATTAAGTGAGCGCTGAGTATGTGCGGGCTCTCGGCTGGTCACGTGGTGGAGATAGCACAGTCTGTCAGCGTGGGAATGACACGCAGAGAGAGCTGGGCTGAGCTGTCAGTCACTCCGAGGATTCAGCCTCTGCACGGCCCTCCATGCATCCACTCAGCACCGACCACCATGTGAGCGGCCGGGGAACCGTGTGGTGGCCCAGAGAGACAAGGAAGACTGGTCAAGGGCGGGTAGAGAGAGGCTTATGGAGGAAATGGGACACAAGCTGAGCATGGAAGGGTAGGCGGTTCATGGGCACAAAGGTGCAGAGGAAGGGAGTCACACGGGGGATTACTAGCAAAGACCTGGAGCCGGATGAGACCACACTGTGGGCGGGGGGGGAGCGGTTAACAGAGCAGCCTGGCCCGACACAGAGGCTGTCTGCCAGAGGGCAGCCCAGACTAGAAATGGCTCTGAATGCCAGGCACTGGGTTTGGGATTTGACCAAACCAGCATTTATTGATCAACTGCTATGAACTTGGCATTTAAGGTTACAGGATTCTGGCAGGGCACGGTGGGCGGAGAGTGGAAAGAAGCATAGCATGGCTGAAGGGCACGGGGTGGAGGCCCCCACACCCCTGCTGTAGCTATCAGGCTCCCCCTGAGCTAGGGGGACTCTCCAGGAGGGAAAGGAACCCATTCTGGTGACCCAGGGGACACTAGAGAGTAGGAGGCTCTGTACACAGGCAAGCATTTCTCCTCCTTCTGTGTCACTTTACTCAATTCCTGAGGGTCCCTTAACTCCTGGGAAGGGAGAATCACAACTATGGGGGGGACAGCAACCAATTCCCGCCACAGTCCTGACACGGTTCCCTGTCCTGCAGAGCCGGCAGGCCTTGGAGGACACCTGGTTCAACCTCATTCCAATTCGCCTGAGTCAGAGCTTCCTTCCTTCCAGGGGAAGGTTCCAGAAAAGTGCCCCAGTGAGAGAAGAGTTGCTCTGGTGCATCTGGGGAAAGGCTCAGGGTTGAGGCTGTCCCCCACAGCTACCCCAGGACCAATGGGCAGAAACTGTCCCAGTTCTCCCCTCCCCCCATGGGCATCCTCCTCACTTCCTGCTGAGGCTTCCTCCCGTGTCTGTCGATTCCCTGAATGGTGGGAGACCCCGTTAAACATGAGCGTGCTGCATCTTATGGCTTCAACCCCTCATGGACCCTTCCTCTCCTCTCTGCCCCGCTCCCATATTTCTTTTTCATTTGTAGGAGTAAGTCAGGTCTTTCCACTGTGATTCCTTCTTCTCTCTTACTCATGGGCACATCTGCTTTATTTTCTGAGGTACAAGTATATCCCCAGTTAACATGGACAGAAATTAGATATTCACAGCCCCCAAGAGAAAATCGAAGAGAGATCTTCAAGCTGCAACTCTGTCTTTAAAAAAAGTACCTCCATTGATCTATATGGAAGAAACACCGTGAAAGCTATTCTCACCCTTGTCTCTCCTGGTAGGTCTTCCAGTTTCCAACACGGAGCACATCTGCCTCCGGTGGGAATGGGACATGATGTTGTCATGGGAGTGTGGGAGTGTGTGTGTGTGTCTGTGTAGCGCATATCACTTTTCCAGATGGAAATATCTATGATATACATGATGAGAGACAGTAAGAAAATGGGATATTTGAGGAATTTGCCTTCCATGCAACTTTAAATGTGCTGTGCAGTTAAGGGAGCCCGGGGCCGGGAGGGCCTGACTGCAGGGGGGCAAGAGAAGGTCCCCTCCCCTGGGGGTGCAGGACAGCACATCACTCACCTCCTCCTTCTCTGGGCTGTTCCTAGATTCTACCTCCACCTGCAGGGAAATGGTTTCTCCAATACTCTTCCTCTTGGATAAGCGATCCTCATCTGGGAAAGGAAAGCCAAGAAGCTAGAGTTCCCAGTGCTCAGAGCGAGCCAGGCTCCTCACACCTTTGCACCATCTCCACCCACCCTCCCATCGCCCCCACCTTTGCCTGGCCCACAGCCCTCTGAAGGCTCAGGACACACTGAGGCTACAGCTGGTTTTTTGAAGGCTGCCGGCCTCCTCTGCCCACCTTAGGGTGGTGAGTTTTGCTTTTATGGCTAAGATCTTGAAATCATCGATGAGCACAAAGAAGCTGCTCATGACCAGAAAGCACATCTCAACTTGCACGAGTAGCCGTCACTTGGGGAGCATTTCCTAAAGCGCATTTACTCTGTGTGCGTCTCCCACCAGCCCTCTAAGGCAGGTGTCATTAATCCCTATTTTCTAGTCAAGGAAAATGAAACTCAGAGATGCCAGGAGACTGGTCTGAGGATTTCCAGGAAGTAAACGGCAGAGAACTTGCACGGCCCATGTGTGCTCTTTCGGGCTCCCGGGGGCCTCTCCCGTCCACCGGCCAGCCTGTCTCATGGGCCGCTTTCTCCCAAGGATCCGGCCCTGAGGAGAAGAGGTGGGGGGAACCAAGAGGCTCTCACCACAGATTTCCACCGCGTTTGTCCACTCCTGTGGGACACGCCAGGGGCACACAAGTCCCTGACACTCAGGCCCTGTCCTGGTGAGGAAGAGCCAAGGCAGGCTCGGAAGTGCTCCCACAGAGCGCCTACCTGTCAGCTGAGGGATGTAGGGCAGGCAGAGCCTGTCGGAATTGTAGCCGCTGCCCCCCAGGACTTCGCTGATCTTGCTCTGGCGGAAGAGGAACTCAATCACTACTCCGTCAAGATTCTGGGACAACCTGGAAGACACAGAAGGAAAGGGGCAACCAGAGGAATTTCCTAATGACTTTCTTTATTATAAAAGGAACACTCATCCTACAAAATGACAGAGAAGCAGAAGGAAAAGAAAATCACCATGGTCTCACTTTCCAGAGACAACATCTTTACACTTTGTGCAGAATCCTTGGGTCACTGACATCTATGTGCGTGCACGCACACACACACACACACATCACCGCACCCCCTGAATTCCTGTTCTGTGATCGATTTTATCTACCGACGGCACAGTGCGTATTTCGCATGAACTCTTCTTCCAAACCGCCGTGGTGGAAAGGCCATCGTTTATGAAGCTACCCCCTATTGTTGGACATTTTTTTTTTCACAGTATTTTCCTTGAGTTCCTCTGAGGCTGACGTGACACAGACTGCAGTCCAAGGATGCCACCTGGATGGATCCAGTGTCTTGCAGGAACGACGCCTCCCGAATGCACGGCCCATGGGCTTGGCCAAAGCTCCCGGAGGTCACGTCACATACTCTATAGCACAATGTACTGACATGGCTCAAGGCGTGGATTATGGCCCCATGACGAAGGTCAGTTGACCCAGGACATCTGGGCCGCAGGCAGCGTCCACTTGTGGCCCTTGAGCCCATAAGGCCTCAGCCCCTGGATTCAGACTGCCCCCACCTTCTCACACAGCTGCCTGGGGCGTCCCTGACCACGTCCCAAGTGTGCTTCTTACCTGGGCCTCTCCACAAACACATCCTCAGGGAGCATGTATGGAGCCTCCTTCTTCCTGGTCTCTATCACCTGGAGTTGGGAGGAACCACATAAGTAAGGGCTGGGGTCGACAGGGGGGAGGAGCTCCGAGCAGGCAGACGATGGCTCTCCCCTCCCCTGCAGGCAGTTCCTTCCTCCCACAGACTCCTGGGCAGAGCACCCTGCAGCTTGGCTTCTAAGGGAGAAACTCGGATCAACCCTCACAGCAGCCCGAGAAGCCCAGGCGGGCCGCTCAGGCCATCCCCAGTGACAGGTATGCATCAGGTGTCCTCCAAAGGCAGGGGACTTAGCCCCCAGGAGACGGCAGCTTCTTGCTCCTGTGCCCTATTCCTATTTTCTATGTAAACATGGAAAAGAGAGTATAGATCACACCATCCCCCCAACCCAGGTGCATGAAAAACATCCTGATGGCCAGTCACAGGCGGAGGTCCCCTCAGTACCCTTGGCAGATTTTTTTTTTTTTTTAAGATTTTATTTATTTGCGAGAGAGACAATAAGAGACAGAGAGCATGAGAGGGAGGAGGGTCAGAGGGAGAAGCAGACTCCCCGCTGAGCAGGGAGCCCGATGCGGGACTCGATCCAGGGACTCCAGGATCATGACCCGAGCCGAAGGCAGTCGCTTAACCAACTGAGCCACCCAGGCGCCCCCCCTTGGCAGATTTTTGACAGGAAAAGTGAAAGTCTGCGAGACGGTGAGAGGCGGGAGGGTGCAAGTGCGGCCAGGAGTGAGCGAGCCAACAGGATGTCTGGGCATATGGCCTTCCTGCGCCCCCTACTGGCCCATGCTGGGGGGCACAGTGACACGGCACCCTCCCCCTGTCCCCCAGCACCCCAAGCCAGCTGAGACCCGAGGTTTCTCATTTTAGTTCATTTTGCTTATTTTAAAGTTAATCCTAGACATTATATCATTCCACCTATAAATACTTCAGTATGTTTTAAAATGTCTTTTGGGGACAACTGAGAACATTTGATTATAAACTGGGTATTAGATAATACCGAGGCATTGTTGATAACTTAATTAGGCATGTTAATAGCAGAATGATTATGTAGGAAGGTGTCCGTATTTTTCACGCACAACACTGATACCCGTAGGGATAAAATGATAGGATAGCTGAGATTTGCTTTGAAATAAGACAAAGGGAAAACGAGATAAAGCAAACGTGGGAACACCTTCCTGTTTCATCTGCATGATGGATATACGGATGTTCATTGTTCTCCTCACACTGCTTTGGTGATATCTGAAAACTTTTGTAATAAAAACCTTTTTTAAAAAAAAGGAGCGTTAGTCCCAAATGACAAGAGAGGCGTGTGTAGCCGGGCTTCTGGGAGCGGGGGCGGCGCAGGGGGGTGGGGAGGAGGGTGGGCAGGTCGCAGGGGAGGAAGGGGCCCAGGTTCCTGCCTGTGGCCAGCCCCCCCGTGCTATGCGGTGTCACGCAGCACGAAATGCTGCTTCTAGTAACTTCCCACTGTCCCTCACTGTTCCGTCAACCCTTCCTCAATGCCTAGACTAGGCACGGGGCTCGCGCAACGAAGGACAAGTTGTTCTGGGGAAACCCAGAGCCGAGGGCCTCCTGAGCGCTCAGGGCGGCGAGGACACCAACCTCATGGGTGTGCTGGCAGAAGGCAGGGACTGCTGTGAGCTGGCTGATGAGGTTCAGGTAGGCTGCGCCCAGAGCGTAGAGGGCACAGCGGTTATACACAGGCAGGTTCTCTTCATTGACCTGGGCCACGTCCTGTGGCAACAAAGAGAGGCCTTGGAGTTTTCCAACTGACAAATTATATCGGTGCCCCGACCCCCGCCCAACCTCTCCCAACCTTCTGTAGAGAGGGCCCATCTCTTTAGACTAAGCCTTTTTCAGCATTTGTCCCATAACTTCCTGGGAGACATAAGTCATCCTCGGGAAAGCGGAAGTGAATCATCCCAAGAACAATCCATGAGCTGGGAGCTCGTAAGTGCTTGAGTAGAGGGGTGATGACCTCATTCTCCACTATGCAGTTCCAGCTTTGGTGACCTTGACTGTCCAAACCCTCATCATTAATCCTACCTCTAGGATGCTGTGTCCTTGAATATAGGCCTTGAATGATTCTTGGGGGACGGGACAGGTTTGCTAAACTGGGTCCACATGTTAAGTTGAAAGAGTTGCGACAGTTACTAGGGATGGGGATACAGAGGAACCTCAAATTCTAGAGTGAAGACAATCATAGCTGCTGGGTTGGCCTTGCAAGATTTAGCACGGGTGGCCTAAGATTCTCCACCACCGAATTCCCAGGTTTGCCATCATTCCTGCTCCTAAGTAGGATCTGAAGCTACCTAGCTTCAGGACCCTGGAGACGCCGGTCTTTTGAGGTCTGAAGGACCCACCCCAATCCCCAGCATCCTTGAGAGTACACTTCCACCCAGAAGGACTCTAGAAGTCTGAAGCCCTATCTAGTGAACACTGGCTTTCTAAGAGTCATGACAGAGGCTTGTTGAATCTCCAGGTCCCCACGCATGGGAATACGTAATTTTTCATATGGGAATATGTAGTTTTCATAAGTGCTTGGGGTAATTCTGAGGCACAGCCAGTCTTGGGAACCAGACGATCTACAGACAAAGTGTGTTTTGGGATCACTCAGGGTTTATGAGCACCCTCTTGGTATTCCTTGGAGTCATACTAGGGACTAAAGGGTGTTTTTGAAAGATCCTGTTCCCTGGGTCTCCTTTGGCCTGAGTATGGGCTACAGCCATGAATGAAGCATTCTTGGGTGGTTCCCCAAACAGAACCATGGTTTGTGGTCCCTGGAGGAATGGGGAGCCAAGGGTGCCGCATTCCCAGGCTCTGAGACAGTTGCTGAGCAGCCACTCGTCATCGGTGGTCTCGTTAGTGCCCAGCCCACCTGCTCCCCTGCCCCGATTCCACCCCCCACATGCTGCCCACACCCGGCCCCACCTGAACGGCCAGCACCAGGCGGATGAGGTCCACCACCACCTCCTCATTGGCCAGCTCAATGCTGACGAGAGCCAGCAAGCTGTAGAGCGCCTCGTAGTGCCTCTGTATGTTCGTCTCCTCCTTACAGCTCAGGTAGATGTGTCTGTAGAGCTGCTGGGAGTGCTGGGCATGGGGGAAGGGGGGCAAGGCCACGGGGGGGGGTGAAGGCGGGAGGGGCAAGGAGAACGGGAGGAAGACCACTCTGTGGGTGGTGCAGTAGCTGTGTATACCCCCCTCCACCCTCAGGGAGAGGGAGTCTTCTCTCTCTCTCTTTTTTAAGTTTTATTTATTTAAGTAATCTCTACACCCAACGTGGAGCTCAAACTCATGACCCCGAGATCCTGAGTCGCACGCTGATCCCACTGAGCCAGCCGGGCACGCCAGGGAGAGGATGCCTTTAAAGCAGACCCCAGTGGAAGCAAACGTGCAGGACACGTTTAGAGAAGGGTGGACGCAGTGAAACCAGCAACAGAAGCTGCTGCCCAAACCCAGCTGGGTTTGGGAGAACACAGCCTGTAGCCCAGCCCGGGCCAGGCTCAGCAGCAGTGCTCCTGACTCTGGCCTCGGTGTTGAGTGTGACCCTGGGGGCTTGGCCCCACCACCCCTGAGGGGTCGGCTGGTCATCCCGGCTAAGCGTGCTCAAAGAGGGAGAGAGCAGGCCTGGGCACAGGGGTCAGCCCTGACTGGGGGGCTGGGAGGTGGGGGTCCACAGAGCCCGGCCCACCTGGGGTTCGCTGGGGCTTAAGGTCACACTGGCTAACCTTCTTCATGAAGACGGTGTCCTGTCGGGAGCACTTGTCCACTTTCAGCTTCAGGACAGAGATGTCACTGAGGGTACTGGGAAGGGACACGAGAGGCCACCTTAGCCCTGTGCAAGGCCAATCAGAGCCCAGGCGGTGTCACTGGGCTTTATCCCAACATTGTTAGTTGGGTCCCAGCCTCCCACCCCCTGCACTGGTTCTTAGCCCAATCTCCACTTTCCTCAAGCTCTCAACCGCTCTGTCCTGCCCACTTTTTCTTGTCCCTTTTTCTTAAATACTGATCCAGATTATTCTCTTCCTCCCTTCCCCTTCCCCCCAGTCTTTACTGACAAACCTGCAGCCCCCTCCCTCCTCCCCACCCGCTAACTCCCTTTAGTACCTGCTCTTCATCTCCCCCATCTCCAATCCACCCCCTGGCTCCCTGGGAAAAACGCCTTTCCATCTCTCCTGCCCCCACAGGACCCCAGGGTCAATGTCCGTGATCAGCTCTTGGTAGTTCCCACTGACTAATGGGAATTGTCCTCTCACCTGGGGGTGAGACCTACCGGCAGTCTTCTCCCCCTTCACACACCAACTGGAGGGGAGACCCCAAGTTCACCTGATGGTAGAGAACTTGTGGCGGTTGCCATGACGATCAATGAAACTGATGAGAATCTCTAGAACGAAGAGGCGGATCTCTGCATCCTCCATGAGAGCGGTGGAGAGAAGGCGGTCCAGGAAGTTGCTGGGCAGGGCTGACATCATGTTGTTGCACTGGAAACCTGTGGATACCTGTGAGGGAGCCCAGCATGGCCGAGTTTAGGAAGGCTGGTGCTCTCAGTGCGGTGAGGAGATGGACAGCCGCCGGCGGACCTGGGGTCTAACGCACCCAACCTCTCTCAACATCTCCCAGCCCAGCTCCCTTGTCCTCCACCCGAGGCCCTGGACGCCTGAGGCACCTTTTCTGAACATGCCAACAACCACCTGGACGAGTTTTAGGTTGTTAAAAGCAAGCAAGGGGTAAGCACTAGAGGGTAGGAGGAGCCAGGGAGCCTCTGAACCTAACGTTCGGGCCGTCAGGGCCCAGCTGATGAACACTCACCACGAACACAACGCTGCATTAAGGGCACGGACAGTCACACAGAGATGGAGGGACAGTGCAAGAGCTTACGGCTGGGCTGAGGAGCCACAACGCACGCACATGCAACACCCGTTTCGTGACATCTCTTCTAGGTGCTCACACTGGGGGTCTTCGGATTAAAGCCAGTGGGCGTCAGTAGACCCAGCATCCACGATGTTGTTAAAGCATACAGAAGCAGCAAAACAACCCCAAAGTTTATAGCAGCAATGTCCACAATAGCCAAACTATGGAAAGAGCCCAGATGTCCATCGACAGGTGAATGGATAAAGAAGATGTCATATATATATACAGTGGAATATTACTCAGCCACCAAAAAAATCTTGCCATTGGCAATGACGTGGGTGGAACTAGAGGGTATTATGCTAAGCAAAATGAGTTCATCAGAGAAAGACCATTATCATATGATCTCACTCATATGTGGAATTTAAGAAACAAAACAGAAAATCATAGGGGAAGAGAGGGAAAAATAAAACAAGGTGAAATGAGAGAGGGAGACAAACCTTAAGAGACTCTTAATCACAGGAAACAAACTGAGGGTTGCTGGAGGGGAGTGGGGTGGGAGGATGGGGTAACAGGGTGATGGACATTAAGGAGGGCATGTGATGTAATGAGCACTGGGTGTTATATAAGACTGATGAATCACTGAACTCTACCTCTGAAACTAATAATATACTATATGTTAATTAATTGAATTTAAATAAAAAAACAAAAAAAACCCCAAAAGCAGCAAAATATTAATTGTTAAGTCCATATTGCAAAACAATGCCTTTGATGATTCAGCAAGCCCTAGGGGATCTAGCAAAGCCTGGTGGCATCAATAGTAAACATCAGCTGAAGGGAAATGTGAGCGCCCCCCAAACTGTCACCTTGATAAGGAGCTGGGTACAGTGAGGGTAAACTCAGCAGAAATGGCAGGAGTACACAGACCAAGGAGGTCACCAAATGTGGGCAGTACCAGCATGAAAAGCCTTCATAAAAACACAGGGACATGAACGGCGTGGGCTCGGGAGAGGGGAGGCAAGGCGTGAATGGGAGTAAGTGGGGTGTGCAGATCAGCATGGCTGGAACAGAGACTGGGGCTGAGGGCTGAGATGGGGAGTCAGGGAGGGGAAGGGGCCTGGGGATCTCCCACCGTTAGTCTGAGAAGTTTGAAATCTGGAGGCACATCCATTCTACACTGACACCTACTATTTGAAAAGGAGCAACATGTGGGGAGCAGCATTTCTAGAAAATTCTTCTTGTGGTTGTATGTATGATTGGTGAGGACAGATGACAATAAGGGCAACCATGAGGGGAATCTAGTTGTGAGATGTCCGGAGCTTAGGCAGGGCTGTGCGTAAGAATCCCTGGGGAGCCTGTTACAAGTAGATTCCAGGACCCCACTCAGACCCATGGGAGTCCGTATAGATTTTAACAAGTTGGTCATGAGATGGCATTTGAGGATAATGAATCTGGACTCCAGTGATGGCTGCAAAGATGGAGAGAAGAGGAATGTAAAACACCAATGAAGGGAGAGATAGAGGCTGGGGTGGGCACAAGTGCTGAGGGGGAAACAGGTGGAAGGGACCTAGGGAGGTACTTGGAAGGGGGAAAAAAAGCAGGAACCAAAGATGCCATCCCAATTCAGAGATAATGTTTGAGTGACAAGGCTATCAGTAGCTGATAAGGAACCGTTGTGAAAATTAGGAACAGTGTCCTGCCTGCTCTGGGTGATCCAGCTCTGTGGATGCCCAGACTGCTAGTGAGTGTAACACAGGGTGGATTTCAGCCCCCTAGTCACCCTTCAGCTGGGGCTATTTGTGCAGTGTGCAACCTGCACAACTGTATGTGGTAGCCTTCTCTTGGTCCCTTGGAAGGAGCTGCCTCCTGTAGAGGCAGAGCAGGACTGGGGACAGGAGAGGCTCACCTGAAGGAGGGATTTCAGCAGCATAATCTGGGTCAGCCGGTTCCTGTTCTCTCTGTAGACCAGAGACACAAATACTCACCAGGATGGTGATGTGGGCAGAGACCCCATGCTTGCCTGCCCAGTTCCCTTTGTGATTAGATTCTCCATGAGGCTTGTTACCTAGGGCAGTTGACTTCCAGAGCCAGGAAGCAGACCAGAGAATTAATGGCTTGCCCCAAAGGTGGGAGGTAGTTATTGGTGGGGCACCCTGAGGAATTGTTGTGGGATCCAAGGCCCCCACTAAAGGCTGCTGAGGGACTTGAGAGTAGAAGAAAAGTGAGGGCAGGACCAGGGAAATTAAAGTGGAGAAATGAGTCCTCGAGAAAACACGGGAAGGGAAGCTGGCGTGGAATTTTGGCCGATAAAGGAAAAAGGGGAGCAGGGCTGGTAGGCTTACCCTGTCTTGCCTGTCTCCATGGGATGATGCAGGGAAGGCAGTGGGACCTTGCTCATGATGAAGAGGATCACCTCGGAGCGCTGGTAAGTGGGCAACGTGCTGGCAAAGGAGCCTGCAAGAAAGAGATGGGGGACAGGGGTGGCCCAGGTGAGGCTGCCAGCTGCCAGGGGCTCCGCTCGGCCTCGCAACTGAGCAAACTGCTGCCCAGAGTGCGGGCTGCGTCTCTAGGGAGACAATTAAGACGGAGAGGGAAAACCTAGACGACGCCAGAGGCCTCCTCCCGCTCCGGTGGCTTCACTTGGCATCCCGCAGGCTGCGGTTAGCGCCTCTGGGAAGGAGAGGGGAGCGCCAGTGGTGCTAAGCCAGGAAGGCTCTGAAGTGAAGAGCTCTGCAAGCTGGAGAGGTGGCGGTCCGGTTCCCCCCGTCCGCATCCAGGTGCGCATCCACGGCCTTTTCTCCCTTTCCTCCCTCCTGCCTCTCCTCTTCCTCGCTCCACCCGCCCCCATCGCTCCAGCGTGGAAGCATCAGACAGGCCTGATGGAGGCTGGGGTGCGGAAGGAGTTCAACGCTCTCAGCCTCTGATCCGACGTCCAGCCTGAGAAACCCACGGACGTCGTTCTGCGCTCTCCGTCAGGCCCGACCCAGGCCAGTCCGAGAGCTGTGCGCGCCGTGGACTGAATCCATTTCCTCCAGCGTCCGCGAGTAACACAGTCCGAGCGGGTGACCTTACAGCGCCCGGGCGCTGTCCTGGTGGAGGTCGCCCCCTGCCCCACCCAACCCGGACGGACCCGGCTGCGCCCGGCCCCGCCCCACCACCGGGCCCCGCCCCCCCAGGCCCCGCCCCGGGTCCCACCTATGGTCTTGATGACAGCCTCCTGGAACATGCGCTCTTCGTGCTCCTTGATGATCTTGGTGCCCAGGCTGATGGCCCCGTCGTAGCTCCCGGTCAGGGCGTAGTCGATGCTGAGCCGCAGCTGCCTCAGCAGAGTGTTGAACATCTCCAGCACCGTGGGCCCTGAGCGCAGCGGGGGTGGGGTGTGGGGAGGGGGGGAGACCCGAAATCCAGGCCTGACACCCCCCCCATTCTCCCCTGTCTTGCATTCCAGCCAGGGGCTTCCTCTGCCCCCTCCCTGCGCTCCCTTGCCCTTTTCTGGCAGGGGAGGCAACCTCCCGCCGAGGGCAGGGCTTTGTCCTCGGGGGCTTCCGGGCCCCCACGCTGTCACTCAGGGCCCCCTTACCGACAGAGCCGGTGGCGGCAATGACCGCAGCTTCCGACAGGACCTCCACGATGCCCGCGCGCACCGTGGCCGCGCTGCGGCTGTTGGCATCCAGGTGGCTCAGGAGCTGCTGGATAACCAGGTGGGAGTGCTGCGGCTGGGGGGAGGAAGACGTGCTGGCCCCAAACAGCAACCCCCACACGGCCTCTGCGCCAGGGCAGCCCTCCACTGGGACCCAAAGGCCAGCGTGGACCAAAGTGAGGTCCTGAGGCCGCTGGCCACTGGAGGTGGTGCCCACGTACCCCGGTTCCTTCTCCTCAGTCCCCCCCCCTTGGTCCCACACGAGCAGAGCCCCATCCCAGGGACGACCTCGATTTCCAGAGTTGCCCTGGGCCCTTCCACCTCAAATGGGTCAAAAGTCAATTTTGAAAATACTGTCTTTCTTTTCATTGTTCCTGGGTCCCACGTCATACTGATAAGGGCCACAACAGGCCACCGGGTTTAGTCCAGTAGCCCGATTACACTGGGATAGTACAGACATCCGGAGGAAGTGCTTAGTAAGCAACGTCTCGAGGCTGTGGCAGCCGAGTGTGGTCTGTGGGCTTGTGTTTTGCATGAGTTTTTCATTTACTTTCTCTAAGGATTCTTTTTAATTGTATTTTATAAAGTATTGATCTGTGCTGTACCCGAAATAAAACTAAAACCTGCCCTTCCTCACAGCTAGATGAAGCAGCATGTCGGGACAACTGGGGGCTTGGGGGAAGTCACAGAGGACGGCCGGCTTTCTCCTTTAGTGCACCGGCCTGCTCCCAGAGGTGCCCTCGGCCAGGGGGACAAGCTGCACCGGGAGCCGCCATACCTGAATTGAGTACATGATGATTTTAAAGCAACGGATGGCGAACACCTTGGGTTCCCAAAGAGAATGGTTATCCAGGTGGCTGTGAGGGAGAAAACACGGGGGGATGGCTAGGAAAGGCAAAGTGATGGTAGGGAGGAGAGACAAGCTTGCGGGGAGAGGGACCTGCCAGAGACCTAGCCCCTGGCAGAGCTCCCAGGTGGGGAAGGGCTTCCAGGTGGCAGTGAGGGAAGGAGATGAGGGACCCGGGGGCAGTCCCGGTGCGGGAGCTGGAGGGAAGCCAAGAACAGAGTTCCGCAGCTGTGGACTCAGGAGTGAAGCCGGGCACCTTCCTCCAGTTTCCGGGAAACTCCTACCAGCACCTCTCCCCAACACCGCGCTCGGCCACTGTGTGGTAACTTCTGCTGTCACACGGGCACACACAAGGGACCGTCTTGCACACAGCACTGCTACCATAACACCTCTTTCCCCTCTCCGCGAGTCAGCAAGATGCCAGGACCTGAAACAGTTCTCTGAGGGCTGGGGCGCAGGGGGGTGGGGGGGACTCACATGAGAACAGGCTTGATGGCATTTTTGATGTTGCCGAAGGCGGCCCGGCCCAGCAGTTCCCGAAGGCACCTCTCGGCCAGCTCTGCTGGGTTCTCTTTCTCCTTCTCTGGTGCTTGGAGGGGCGAGGGAGAGCGGCTGTGGAAACAAGCAGCACGTGGGTGGGCAAGGGATGGCCAGCAAAGCAGGAGTCAGTCTTTGTGCAGAAAAAATTCCTTTTTTCTTTTTTTTTTTAAATATTTTATTTATTTATTAGAGAGAGAGAGCAGGCATAAGCAGGGGGAGTGGGAGAGGGAGAAGCAGACTCCCCACTGAGCAGGGGTTGGGGCTCGATCCCAGGACCCTGGGATCATGACCTGAGCCAAAGGCAGGCGCTTAACGGACTGAGCCACCCAGGCGCCCCGGCAGCCCGTGTTTCTGCACTGCATCCTTGCAAGTGGTGCGCCACGACAGGCAGGAATTTGGTGTGGGCTGCACGAGATAATGTGGGAGGTATCGTGGCTGTCAGAGATGAAACAGGGTAAAGGAGCCCAGGGTGGAGGAAGATCATGGGAGAAGGGGTCAAATTCTCTTTCCGGAAATCCTCGAGGACACGTGCCCCCGCGGGAAGGACAGATAGCCTGCACATCATGGGCCTGGGGAGGCACAGACCAGAGTGTCTCCTTGCCTCAAAGCCTGGGAAGGAAAAAGATGGGGTGTGAAGAGAGGGAGGCAGAGTAATAGAGAAAACAAAAGAAAGTGGGAGAGAGAAGGAGGGAGAGGAAAAAGAAACCATGGCGGTTGGCTCAGGTGTGACTCAGTGGTACCTAAGTCACAGGGGCTGGGCCCGGATCTGGACAAAGGAACCTCAGGTGTCGGGGGGCGGAGACCACCAGGGACCACAGGCGAAGCGGGTCAGGGAGGTGCAGTTCCAGGAACAGCCACCAGAGGGAACACTTATTTCCCACGCTTGTCCCCTGCTCCACAGGCTCAAAGGAGTCAGAGGGAGGGGGGAACCTGCTATTCTCTCACCCAGCGCCACGCACAGCCCAGATGGACAGCAACATGAGTTTTTCCCTGCATCCCGTTTTACAGATGGGAAGAGCGAGGGGCAGGGAGAGACTGAAACCCCTGTCTGAGGACTCCCGATTAAAACCCACTATCTGCAACTTGGGTCCAGGGGCTGCTGGCTGGTCAAGCAGGTTTTAAGGACCTGAAATACCATTAGGAAGTGAGGCAGGAAGGGAAAGTCCTCAGTTAACTGGAGCCATGAAAGGCACTTTAAAACCTCCTTGGCCTGCTGCTTTCAGAGAGACAGAGGTAACCCGACTCTTGGTTCTTTGTGTTCTTACCAGTGCACACTTACCCCCAGGGAGCCCAGCACGGTTACTGTCCTTCCTTCATGAACGCAGACCTTAGGGGGTGCAGCAGGCTGGCAGAAGGCCAGACCCAAGGCTCCTAGGGAGCTGGATTTGGACTCATTGCCGAACAAGCCACAAACACCAAGATCCCTGGCCTTTTGGTTAGGCTTTACCAGCCAGCCCAAACCCTGTGGTTCCCAAGCAGATGGCAAAGGCAGCCTGGGAGGGTGGTCCATGGCCCGAGCTCCAGCCTCGTCTGCTTGCCGAGCTCCTGCTTACCTCTCTGCCTCCTCTATGTGCTGCAGATTGAAAAGCAGCGACGGGACAATTTTGTCCATGTGCTGTGGGTCCCAGATATTGGCTTGCAATTCATCGTTCACCGTCTTCCTCACCACCCCTTGCAGACCTTTGATGCCTGACATTCTGATTCTGGAAGAAAAAGGGCAACAATGGAGCCATGAAATCCTCCGGCCCTGAGAAGCCCAGCTTCTGTGGCAAGGGGAGGAGCACGGTGTGGGGACTGGGGATGCATTCGTCCATCCAAAGGCAGAAGGGAGCCCACCTTCTATCCTTCATGTGACTCAGCCTCCTGGCCAGCTGGCTTCCTGTGCGGGTGGACGTGAGCCCAGGAAGCCACGACCTCTGGCCTATCCTGGAGATTGCCATACTGCCCTTGCCTGGTACCACACGGGCTTCATCCCTATGCTGCCAGTTGCCCCAGGCTCCTCCTCTTTAGTACCCCGCTGGGTTTATTCCAGCTTGAGCCCAAGATATAAGGGCTCAAAGTACTGCCAAGAACTGATGAAGCAGAATTCAGGGCTATGAGCAAGTTACAGCAGGGAGGGGAGGGGGGATCTGGAAGGAGAGACACAGAGCTGCCAGACTCTGGGCACAGAGAGGTCTCAGCTGGGGCTAAGCTGGCTGAGAAACCAGGAAATCAAGTAACAGCACAGAGGAGGCCCCTTTCACTCCCCCCACCCCACCCAGCCCCACTGTGCTGGCCCAGGGTCCCTGCGGGAGGGGCCTCTTTATTGGCTGTGTAGTTCAGCCCCAAGTCTCTTTTTTTCTTTTTGTAATCAAACTTTTTTTCTTTTTTTAAAAAATATTTTATTTATTTATTTGACAGAGAGAGAGAGAGAGAGAGCAAGAGAGGGGACACAAGCAGGGGGAGTGGGAGAGGGAGAAGCAGGCTTCCCGAGGAGCAGGGAGCCCGATGTGGGGCTCGATCCCAGGACCCTGGGACCATGACCTGCGCTGAAGGCAGACGCTTAACGACTGAGCCACCCAGGCGCCCCTCAAACTTTTTTTCTGATTATAAAATAATACATGCCAATTATAGAAAAGTATAAAGAAGATTTACCCCTATGATCACCATTCAAAGGGACCCATTACTGGCATTTTGGTGTCTTTCCTTTCTTCTGTGCATAAGACATAGAATTAAGAACTTGTTCTGGCTTTTTCTCCCCATAACATTCTATCATAAGCATTTTCCTCTATCATTAAGTCTTCATAAATATGCATGATGTACCGTCATAAGAACTTTCTCAACTAGTCCCCTATTGGCCATTTAGGTTCTAAACTTTTTGCCACTGTAATATTGCTGAGATGGACATTACCAGATAAAATACTTTATAACATTTCAAATCATGGCCATGAGGGGAATTAATGAATCAAAAGGTAAATTATTTATATAAAATAATAAATAAATCTTTTAAAAAAAAAAACAGGTGAGAAATGCAAGGCTCCCAGCACTGCCCGTGCTCTGCCCACCGCCAGGCACACACTGCAGGAGAATGCCATCCCCCATCCTCACCGAGCTGCCCCAGCACCGGGTGCCTCACTGTCAACATCTGTTCTAATCTGTGCCTCAGAAAAGTCCTCACATCTTGTAGCTATTTCAGATTCTTTTAATGAGTATTGGAGTTGAGCCAATCTGAACGTTTAGTTGCCCTTTGTATTTTCAGCTTTAGTTTTAAGTGCGGCTACTGGGGTGTTCCCCTGGGCCTTACCTGATGACCATAACTGTCCTGAGAGCAGGAAGCCCCGGCGCAGGACCAGTGAGGTCGGGACAAGGGGCAAGGATTCCTCGGGGAGCCCTCACTTGCTCTGATCCTGCCCCCTGGTCAAGACCCTGAGCCAGAGGCTATGCAGACTTAAGAGCGAAGTAACTGGAATATTATCCCACTCACTATTCTTACTCTTGGTTCTGAGTTACAAGGTACTTCCTAATGCACAAAAAAAATACATCCCAAACACGCTGGACACCTATGTCCTGCCCAAGAGAGCCGGGCTGGCAAGAAATCAGGCCTGATGGATGGGCCATTTCCTCCCCAGGGCTTCCTTATGTGTGAATGTGAATTAATTCAGTCTCCTCAGAATGCCTTCCACATCATACGCATTTTATTCCACGACACCTGAAGCTGACTGACCCTTTCAAAATAAATGCCAAAAGACCAGGCCTGCAGAGAGGCCTGCTTCTCTTATGGCTCCTTGTCATGGGCTCAGTGGAGGCCTACCTAAGAGCAAGGGGCCTGGGGAGTGTCTGAACCCAAGGGGACCACACACACACACACACACACACACACACCAGCATGCACTTATTTACAAGACTCAAGGGTTGTTCTTGGAAAGGGGCTCTGGGCTCTGCTGAGGCTGTGAATGAACAGGGGGATCTCAGGGAAAAGGGGTGCAGGGAGGCTGTGGAAGAGAGAGACAGAAAGAAAAAGGATGACTGATGCCAGAAACACCTGTCACCCTGGCAGGACTTCCTTTCAGGGTTGGCAAGTACTGTCTGTGGGTGCCAATGGCCCTGCCCAGTTGCCAGGAGCAAACGTCAGCCGCCCGCCTCCCCATGTGCCGCACTTCCCAATGTCACAACACAGCGCTGCCGGTGTCTGCTTCTCTGCCTTCCTCTCCACTGTGTACTGTGTGTCTGTGTGTGTTTGTGTGTGTGGAGGCACAAGGGCTGTCCCCTCTGCTCCCCCCTGAAAGCTCAGTGCTGCCTGAGTGACCAGCCCCTGTTACGGCCACACCTGGCTCCAGTCCTGCACCTTCCCCAGCACCTGCTCCCGGACACGCCCCAACTGCTCCAGCCCCTTCTGTCTCTTTATAGCCCATCTGCAGTCAGGTGGCTACGGCGGGGCCAATGCTGGGGAGAGCACAAGGGCTCCTTCCTCCAGGGGCCCCCACTGCGCATCGGAGGCCCCGGGGTGGCACCCTTCCAGAGTCCATGACTCTTTTAAGAAACGGGGGCCTGGGGAGGCTTGGATACTGCCAACCGCTCACAGGGTGACCTGCCCTGGGGACGTTCCACAGGCTCACAGCTTTGGGAACCGGCTCCCTGTGGCACGGAGGGTTTCACTTCCAGTTCCTCCAACCCAGACCATCAGCTGTGGCGACAAGCGGTTGATCCGGACATGCAGGGCTCCCTGACCCCGCTGTTGCACAAAATGTGGCAGGTGATGTACTGGGGTGATGAAGGAAAAAGCCAGTGGCTGAGTTCTGGAACAAACCGCTGGAGAGGTGGGCTGCTGTGGGCATGCTGGCTACATGTCAAACCTCCTCGCTCCGACTCCTCCTGCCCTCTCCGCTCTCTTCCCTTCTTCTTTCTTTGTCTCCTTTGAACACATTCTCTGGTTTCATATAGCCTCCCCGAGTTGATAACACACCCTTTGTGGGCAGAGACCCATTCCTAATCGTTTTGCGCTGAATCGTTCCATGACAAGACTCAGTGCAAAACACCGATTCATCGCTTCCTGGCCTGCGCACCACTCCATCGGTCTGATGCTGCGTCCCGCCTTATCTTCTGTTGGCATACATTCACGTAAATATCTTTGGGATTTTATTTGAGAAGTTTTCTTTCTATGTTGATAAGTGTGTTTCTGTGAGTTTAAGAACCTGATAAGTCTGAGTCTGTGAATATAAAAGCGTATTCTGTAATTCAAGACATTTATCTGCAAGCATTCACTCTTGGCACCTGGCTGGCTCTGTCGGTAGAACGTTTGACCCTTAATCTCGGGGTTGTGAGTTTGAGCCCCACATTAGGCATAGAGATTACTTAAAAGAAATAAAATCTTAAAAAAAAAGAAAGAAAGCATTTATTCATTCACTCATTCATTCACTCCACAACTGTTTATTGAGCGCTTACTGGTCCCCAGGCGGTGCGGCAGGACCTGAGATGCAGCAATGAACAAAACGATGCCTCCTGGCCTCCCAGAGTTTACATTCTGCTGGGGGCACAGGCAATGAGTAAGAAACAATAAGCGTGTTTTTGTAACGTGTCTGAAGGGGATTGTGCTATAGGGGGAAAACGGAGCAGGGCGAGGGAGAAGAGAAGTGGGTGTGTGGGATGTTTAAGAGAAGGTGGTGTTGACCAGCAGTTATTTGAGCAAGGGCTTGCAGGGGGAGAGCAAGTGAGCTAGACAGATCTATGGAGGAAGCATTCCAGGCACAGGAACCGATGGTGCAAAGGTCCGGTGGCAGGAATGTCCTTGGTGTGTTTGTGGGGCAGTGAGGAGGCCTGTGTGGCTGGAGGGGAATGAGTTGGGGGGAGTGTGGAGGAGACAAAGTCAGGATGCCAGCAGAGATCAGCCAGTGTGAAGCCTTGGGCTTTTTATCGGCAGGTAAATATTGTGATGGATAGTCGTGAGTGGGTGTGTTTCTGGGGGTGTATAAATGCACATACTCCTGAACGAAAAAGCACAGGGGTGTGCATGTGTGTATATGTGTGCTGTCACTGACTCTGAAATTTGGTTCCCGGGACCATTACCTTTCATCTGCTCCTATTTTGTGCCCCAGAAGATTTTCCTTTGAAAGCACATGCTGGGAGCCCAGCTCTGCCCACTTGCCCACCTGTGTCCTTTCCTCCCCAGATGTTCTTTCCTCCCCAGCAACGTCAGAGCAGAGGTAAACGCTGATGAGGTCAGACCGTGCACTCTGCGTTGGGAACTCAGTAAGACCCGTCGACACTTTTGCCATTAGCCGAGTGGGCCCCCCGGCCTCCCCTACTCACTTGGTCTTGATTTCCATGTCATCGTGGCTGGAGTGGCACATTTCACTGAAGCGGGACACAAAGAAGTCGTAGCTCCGGTGATAGGATGGGGTGTCCTCTTCGATGTTGGCAAACTTCACAAACTGCCCGGGAGGAGGGAGAGAAGTACAGGTGAGAGGTGACCCACTGTGCTCTTCACCTTCGGGCTCAGGGCTCTGGGACTTGCCATCCTGAGGCCCCCTGCCCTAGTAAAGCCACGGGACATACACATCTGGGAGCCATGCATTCCAGGACACGGCTCTGCTCCCCACAGCACACCCAGTCTCCATGCTTCTATGGGTTCCAAATCCTGCTCGCCCTTCCCATCTACACTACACGACTGGACCCCATGGCCCTTTTCAGCCCTTCCCTGCTGAGGTGAGCAGAGGATGGAACAGGTGAAGACAGGGGACTCTCTTAAGCTCCTGCCCCTTTCCATGCCCCGAGCTGCACCAAACACACAGAGGCGGGAGGCAGTTAGAGATGCACTGAAACAGCCAAAGCCAACATCAAACCGTATCTCAACACTTTAGAATGAATTCTGGGAAACAGGAACAAATCTGAAATTTGATTTAAAAATGTAATTCCATTTTATTGTTTAAAATTATTCATTAATTTATTTTTAAAGATTTTATTTGTTTATTTATTTGAGAGAGAGAGAGAGCAGGAGCAGGGGTGGGGAGGGACAGAGGGAGAAGGAGAAGCAGACTCCCCACTGAGTGGGAGCCTGACACTGGGTTCGATCCCAGGACCCTTAGATCATGACCTGAGCCGAAGGCAGACGCTTAACCAACTTAACCGACTGAGCCACCCAGGCGCCCCTATTGTTTAAAATTTGAGCACATTTTTTAAAGTTTGCCGGTTCAGTTCTGTTAAGTCTGGCTCAGCATTATCAGCTGCTGGATTCCTTCTGCCACCAGGCTGCACATTTGCAATTCTAAATAGGGACTTAATTTCAGTGGAATCCCACAGAGAAGCAAGAATCACAGACTAAGTAGAGTTAAATTGCTAAAAATTAATCATAAGTCTTAGAGGTTGTTTTGCTTAATGTTATAAATTTAGTACTGAAAACAACTCAAAAGATTACCCTTATAATAAAATCTATTCTCCATTATTCTGTCATGTAGTTATTTAATTTTTATAAACATTTGTTGGTTCTAAAAGGATATGCTATTATTTCTAAAATTATCTAGTTAATGCATTCATAATATTCATTACCAATTGCCAATCTGTTTCTCTATTTAACTACTCAAAATCTGTTAACTTTTTCTGGATGACAATTAGCAGCTTCCACCAACATCATTAATTATTCTTTCACTAATAGATATACATTTATTTTCTGTTGACTGATAGAATCTCTACATACAAAGCAGATGAGGGGGTGCCTGGGTGGCTCAGTCGTTAAGCGTCTGCCTTCGGCTCAGGTCATGATCTCAGGGTCCTGGGATCGAGCCCCACATCGGGCTCCCTGCTCGGCGGGAAGCCTGCTTCTCCCTCTCCCACTCCCCCTGCTTGTGTTCCCTCTCTCGCTGTGCCTCTCTCTGTCAAATAAATAAATAAAATCTTTAAAAAAAAAAAAAAAAAAAGCAGATGAGGAGATCCTTCTTTCCAAGTTAACATCTAAAATGTATACATCTATTTGGAAGTGAATATTCTGATATTAGCAATAAATCCAAAGGACACTGCTTGCATTATTGATGGGGTTCTGCAGAAGAGGCGAAGTGGTAATCCGTGTGATCATAAGATCATTGATTAGACATAAGTTCAGGAATTCTAGAAACAACAATAAAGTCAGCCTTCGGCTGCGTGAACTTAAGCCCTGCAAAGGTTAGAACACAGAGGTAGGCTGATACGGAGGCTAAAGAGAAGTTTGGGCTCACTGCTGCTCTTACTGACTGACAGGATGATCCCGGGCTGCACTGCCCTCCCCACGGCTGAAACCTGGGGTGTCAAGGCGTCCATCTACTCGAAGGGGACATGCCACAGATCTACCTGTCATTGGCAGTGTGGCTTCTGAGTGGGACATTTAACTTCTCTTATGGTTTGGTTTTCCCACGTGTAAAATAAATACTGGCAGTCATCATTCACTAAGAGTCTTAATTTTTTAAAAAAGATTAAAAGAATTTATTTGAGAGAGACAGGGAGAGATCGCAAGCACGTGCACACAAGAGCTGGGGGCAGGGGGAGTGGGAGAGGGAGAAGCAGGCTCCCCGCTGAGCAGGGAGCCCGATGTGGGGCTCGATCTCAGGGTCCTGAGATCATGACTGAGCCGAAGGCAGACTGAGCCACCCAGGCGCCCCTTAATTTTTTTTATACTGTATGTACTTCACATATGATGAGGCAGCTTAAAATAAGACAATCTGAGTGTATGCAAGAGAATATGCATTTAAAATTATTAAAACAAGACTGAAAAAAAGAGACCATAATAAAGAGGGAGAAATAGTCAAAGATTTTGTCTCTAACATATACTGACTGTGTAGACTCAGAGGGATGTCAGGAGGATGAATATGCCCAGACCTCATGTTCACTGGTTTGGGAGTTTGGGAGGTGGCAGTGAGGAATGTGTGGAAGCTCATACATGTCGGGCGCTACCCTAAGCCTTTTACACACCTCATCTCTTCTTAGAAGGACCCTAAGAGAGAGAGAGATTATGGGACAACAGAGCCACAGGGCTCAGTAACTACGCGGATTTGCACCACCAGCCCCAGACATGCTGAGTCACTCCTGGAGGAGGCCCAGGGGTTTACCCTGTAGCACGGTCAGTCCCAGGAGACCCGATGGGACGGTCCCCATTCGAGAAACCCTGCCGGTCACTGACCGACAACCTGGCCTCCCATCTCTGCGCACCACCCCCCTCTCCGGACACGGACACTTCTCTGAACCGATGCCTGATCTCTGTGCAATGTGACATCAAGTACCCCTGCACTTTCAGCCTTGACTTTCCTCTTCTTCTAAACGCAGTGAAGCCATGAGCAGGCCCGACCGCCAGTCAGGGGCATGGCCTGAGCGCTCGCTCACGCCCAGTGTTGTTAAGACTGGCCATTACCGGGGCGCCTGGGTGGCTCAGTTGGTTAAGCGACTGCCTTCAGCTCAGGTCATGATCCTGGAGTCCCGGGATCGAGTCCCGCATCGGACTCCCTGCTCGGCGGGGAGTCTGCTTCTCCCTCTGATCCTCCGCCTCTAATGCTCTCTGTCTCCCATTCTCTCTCTCAGATAAATAAATAAAAAAATCTTAAAAAAAAAAAAAAAAAAGACTGGCCATTACCCGTGTTGTCCAGGTTGCTGAATATTTTGACTAGTACCCACTGGCCGTAAGGTTAGAATTGAGATTACAATCAATTTTTAAAAACCAAAAATTCTGTGACGGCCACTCTGGTAACACAGGATAGAAAACAGTCATGGGGATTCCTTTTCTACAACCAGGGGTGGCCTTTCTCTAGTTTCTTCTGAATCTGTGCCCACAGGGCCAGCCCCAGCTGTTAACTGCACTGAAAAATGCCCTCATTCTTCTCTTCTGTGACTGTCTGCGTCCTTGGATTTTTACTCTTCTGCACTCTTCCTCCCTGGAAATTTAGGTCTGAGTCTTCTCAGATTTTGCTTTTGACATGGGCGTCCTTCCATTTAAGGAGACAGTGGTCCCCCCTGCACTGCCGGGGCCACAGTTGGACGGCCACCTCCTCACTCTGCCTCTCGTCCCCCGTGTGACTGTGGACAAGTTGTGAAACTTCCGAGCCACTGAATCCTCATCGGTGATGTAGGGACACTAGGACCTATGTCACAGGGCGGTCACCAGGACTAAAGGCGGGGACGTATGCCAAGTGACTAGCACAGTGCCTGGCTAGCTCAGGAAACAGTGCTGCAGGGACCATGGTGACGGTGGCCAATTGTGGTCTGGTCCATCAGCTCCAGGACTAGGCAGCGTGACCCTTGACCTTTCATGTCACCAACACAGGCCTGGCCAGGCGATCATAGAGGAGGAGCCCAGGTGGGCAGCGTGGACCGTGCAGACAACACACCTCAAATGTGATGCCTGGGGTGTGGAGAGAGGGAAACTAGTTTTCGCCCCCCGCCCCCCCCCCCTGGGCAAACTGGTGGCTGAGGGTGGGAGTGAGGACCGCAGCAGAGGGCAGGGGGGTGGGGGGGATGGCCATGCCCCGCGAGGCACCATTCAGGGGCTGAGGTCATGTAGTGCAATAGGAGAGGACAGAGCACAGCACCGAGGGGCAAGCGGGTGGGACTATGGGATAGCCAGCAGCCATCCCTGCAAGACCAGGGACAGATTGGCAGAACATTCGCTTTCTTCTCTTTAAAATGCGCATATCGGGGCACTTGGGTGGTTCAGTTGTTAAGCGTCTGCCTTCCACTCAGGTCATGATCCCAGGGTCCTGGGGTCAAGCCCCACATCAGGCTCCCTGCTCGGTGAGAAGCCTGCTTCTCCCTCTCCCACTCCCACTGCTTGTGTTCCCTCTCTCGCTGTCTCTCTCTCTCTCTCTCTGTCAAATAAATAAATAAAATCTTAAAAAAATAAATAAATAAAATGCGCACATCATCTCCTAGGAATGTGAGTAAATTAGAGATAATTAAGAAAAGCTCCCCAAGTTCCTGGAAAAACAGGAACTCTGTGTATCCAAGTTCTAATATTAGCAAGGTTCTTATTTCTAAGAGGCTTAAACTTTTTTTTAAGAGGTGGGGGAAAGGCAGAGGGAGAGAGAGAATCTTAAGCAGGCTCTACACCCAGTGCAGAGCCTGATGCAGGGCTTGATCCCACGACCAGGAGATCATGACCTGAGCCGAAATCAGGAGTTGGATGCTTAACTGACTGAGCCACCCAGGCATCCCGAGGCTTAAACTTTTTATGGGTCCTAAGGATTCAGCAGCGCACCGTCATCGAACGCGTGCTTGCTGGGGCAGCGTACAAATACATTGAAGACAGCACTCAACAACCTGTGGTCTGTTCTTCGCATGTCCGAGACTCTGCTCATTGCACTTTGTCATCCCACCTGACCAGAAAAACACATTTCAAATATGGTTGTGGTGAAGCTTGTTTGCTTTGGTTTAACTCGTACCTTGGTCTTTTGGAAGTCAAAATATTCAAAAGGCATGG